TGGAGTCCGGCTCACTGTCCCGCCGCCGTGCGAACAGCCCTGCTAGATGGGTGGCGAGCCCGGCTTAAAGGACTGTTGACAGAAAAGCCTTTGAACTTCGCCCCCTGTGAGCTCTTTGACCTCAGCTTTCAGGGGGGGTTTATGATGTGGCCCAAAGTGAGGGAGGAGCGAGAGTCGCAGCCGTATGGCCTCACCACAGGACACCATCTGGGGAAACCACTGCCGCCTGACAACCAGATCACTGCCCAGCCCGCGGACGAAAGTAGTGCCAAACCAGCCTGCATGAAGTAGAACTTCTCTGCTTCTATACAAGATCATAATAACAATGTTTTGGTTTATAAGTGCTTTATATTTATAAAAGCTGAAATAAAACAATTCAAAAATAACAATGATTGAAAACTATTTATATTTAGGTGGAAAAACTAATATAGTTGTAATTTGCATACACAACAACTAAGGCTGAAGACTCAACTGGCATATATAGTGCCAGGTGTGTAGCTGCGTGCATTAAGGCCTACTTTTACACTCAAAGTACAGTTTTTTAGCTACTTGTATGTCTTCCCTCAAGTTCCGTTAATGTAGCATGGTACACCTTAAACATAAAGACAGATAACAGGCTCATCACAGACAAACTGGATGTGGCCAAGTACTTGAACATTTTTTTCACAAACATAGCCACAACTCTTGTAAATAAATTACCCTCCCACTCAGGGCTTTTTGGAGTAGATCACATCATGACCTACTACAAAAACCTAGGGGTACGCAAAGATGATTTCAGTCTAGCAAGGGTAACAACAGCAGAGGTACTCATTAAACTGAGCGCCCTCCAACCTAACAAGGCCACTGGCCACGACAATATCCCCTCCAAATTCCTCAGAGACACAGCAACCGCCATCTCACCAGTCATAGCTCACATAATTAACCTCTCCATAAAACAGGGAAAAGTACCCAAAGACTTCAAAATTGCAAGAGTAACCCCCCTGCACAAAAAGGGCAGCAAATTGGACCCAGGCAACTACCGCCCTGTTTCTATACTTACCTCCATCTCGAAAGTCATGGAAAAAATAGTATATGAACAGGTCGAAAAGTACCTCGCGGAAAATAAACTAATCTATGAATTTCAATCTGGCTTTAGAACATCCCACTCCACTGACACATGCCTTCTTTATTTGAGCGACCACATCAAACAAGAGGTGGACGAGGGCAAGTACTGCGGCATGGTGATGCTGGACCTACAAAAGGCTTTCGACACTGTCAATCACCCCATTCTGATTGACAAGCTAAAAGCAATTGGTTTTGATAAACTATCGGTGAGCTGGATGCAATCCTACCTGGAGGGGAGAGAACAGATGGTGGAGGTAAACGGTACTCTGTCCCCCCCCCTCCCAGTGAGCTGTGGTGTTCCACAAGGAAGCATATTAGGTCCGTTACTGTTCCTAATTTATGTAAATGACATGTCATCAGCATGTGACTGCAACTTGTTCCTGTTCGCGGACGACTCAGCCCTGCTGGTCTCTGACAGGAACAGGTTGCAGGTTGAAAAAACCCTCAGCTCCGAGCTCGGCAGAATCTGCACCTGGCTCGCCGATAATAAATGATCATTACACCTGGGTAAAACAGAGTCCATTCTCTTCGGTTCGAAACATAATCTCAGCAAATCCGACGACTTCTCAGTTGCAGTGGGCGACATTATTGTCACAAGTAAGAAGGAAATTACATACCTAGGATCTATTCTTGAGGCAAACCTCTCCTGTGACAAAATGGCATCCAATGTAATAAAAAAAAGTCAATCAAAGAACTAGATTCCTATACCGGATCTCCTCTCTGGTAAACAAAAACACCCTGAAAACTCTGGCAGGAGCACTCATTCAAGGGTACTATGACTATGCTTGCACGTCATGGTACCATAGCACCTCCAAGGCGCTACAAATAAAACTTCAAACATCGCAAAATAAACTGGTCAGACTACTGCTTGACCTTTCATCTAGAACCCACCTCACCTCTGCCCACTTTGACAACCTAGGATGGCTTAGAGTAGACGACAGAGTACAGCTACTTGCAATGGGCCTGGTCTACAAGATCCACTACACCTCTATGGTACCCATGTACATGTCAAAATTCTTCCCAAAGGTCAAGGAATACCATGATCATAACACCAGAGGGAGCTCCACAAATCATGTGAAACCCAGATTTGGCACAAAAAAGGGGGAATACACGTTTCGCAATTATGCCACATCAAGGTGGAACGCTCTTCCCACAACTGTAAAGGAAAGTAAAACTATACTTACCTTCAAAACCTCTCTTAAAGAGCACCTTCGGGGGAGAGCATTGCAAAACTGGCCCCGGTAATGGTACAAATCTCAACCTGTCGTTCAATGGACAGCTTCCCCCCCCCCATCTATGTATATACTCGCATTTTAGACTCTGTTACTAACTGTATATCTGTAGACTTGGTATGTCTTAAATGTCCGGTTAGGATGTATTAGAACGACATCTAAAATGAAAATTGTAAATAAGCAATCTGTATGTAAAAAACCACCTGTATGTAAATTGTAAATAAGCCATCTGTATGTCAAATATGTCTTATATGTCTTAAATGACATGATGAATTGGAAATGGGGGACCCTGATGTAAACAAGACGAAAGTCTTTCTCTGGTCTGCATCCCCTTAACAATTGTATGTTTTGAGCTGTACTGTACTGTACCCAATATACAAGCTGTTAATAAACTTTTCAATCAATCAATCAAACCTTGATCTGTATCAAAGAAGTACTGGTATCACAACATATCAACGGTTTTTATTGGTTATCTTTAACTCCCAGTTAACACATTTTTAATAAAGATAGACGTGTTGAAGGAGTCTAGCAATCTTTTAATGACCCTTCCATTATTCAATCTAATTTAGTCCTATTCCTTTCAAGTACTTTACTGTTATTATAGTCTATTTTGTGCATATGACATGCAAAACTCTCTCTTCTTTTTTCCCTATTTGTTCATTTTTGTTGGGCAGTTTTCCTGTATTTTAACCGAGGTATAAGTACTGTCAAGTTGTAGCGATTAAAAAGCTCTCAAAAGGAAAATTCATGATTTGGGATTTTGGATTAAATAAATGTAATCAACCTGATTAGTCATTAGAAAAATGTGTCAATATCAGCAACAGCAACAGCCGCTGGTTTCAGCTTATCCAATGTGAGGGATTTATGCTTCTCTGTCTTAATTGGTGCTGGACCCTGTTATAAAATAGCTGTTGGTTCTACCTATATTATGTAAGTAAGAGAAATCAGCTCCATCTTTACCAGTTGCAACGTTAAAGAGTTGAACACATTAATGCATCAATAATTATAATGTTATCATATAAAATACATTATTCTGAAATGGCCATTTGTGAGGAGTAGTTTAACCTGTTTTTCAGGTCTCAGGCTCGAAAATGACATTTCTAGAAGAAATTACCATAACTACACATCTAAAAGGGGAACATTAATAATCTTTTATCTCAAAGTAATGATAAACCTGTGAGTTGGATGTAGAAAAGTCAGAATCAATATAGATGTTTTTTATTTTAAAGAAAATTCAGATTGAACATAGTAAAAAACTGTAAATTATAGTGTTCGTCCAAAAAATATGTTTTACTTATAGTGAAAACTACCCTTGGATGATGGGTTAGTAGACTAAAAGCTTTAGGAATCCAAAGTACAACATATAATAAGTACCCTGTATCAAGATTGATGCAACACAAGTGACATTTGACCTTTTTAGAGAGGTTTAGCACAAAAAAAATCGAGTTCTTATCATAGAGTGATAATGTATGTACCAAACGATTCTGTGTCATCTCACGATGCGAATCGATGGGTTGGATGTGCAGAAAAGATACATAATAAGGGTTTTATGAGTGAGTTTATGTGCAGTAATCTGTTAGCATTTTTCGCTCGTTGCTAATTCAGAGGCTTTCAGTTAGCATTGTGGGTTTAAAAAAATAAATAAAAAAGATCAGTTAGCTGAGTTTCTTCCCGTTACATGGACATAAAACATTCATAGTTTATTACATCTTAAGAAGCCCTCAGACACTTTTGCTTGAAGATGTTGTGATTTCGGCCGCTTCGTCCGTGGGGTTTAAGAGGTTTGGTACTTATAATATTTTGTCACAGCAGCATGAAGACAAGTATTGCATATGAATGAAAAGTTAAATCAATTACAATATAGAAATAAACAGCACACGTATACATAGTATATAAACAGTAACAAATCAACAAAACGGAACAATACATAATATACATATCAACAGTGAACTATGTATAGAGTTAGTATCTCTTATGAATACATTATTAATATACAATACAATATTAAAGGTGGGGTAAGTTTGAGAAACCGGCTCGAGATACACTTTTTGTTATATTCCATGGAATGCTCTTAACATCCGATAGCAATGAATATCTGAAGTGCTTTGACAAAAAATCCATAAAAAATGTCATCTGTGGAAGCCGTGGCGCTGTAAAAAGCACGACCAATCATTTGAGCCAGCCCGGCTAAAATAACTGGATGGCCTACTTGCCTGTCAGCCTTCCATCTGTGCACAAACTTATCTCGTGCCCTCATTGGTCATGTGCGCGTTCGTGTGTGTTGGAGGAGGGGCTCTGTAAGGAAGTGGCAGATTTTTTCCGGCTTTGTATTTTCAAATTCTAGCGCACTCGAGCTGGTTTCTACAACATTACCTACCCCACCTTTAATAAACAGATTAACAAATATAATTGAAGCCAGTGTACTTTTGATAGGCCAGCCCACGACTGAGAACATGTTAACAATGTAAACTATTTACATTATAAGTTAGCAAGTAATTAATAACAGTTTGGAATAACAGTCCATGAATTGTCCATGTTTTAAAAAAAATGGAGTTCTTTCATAGACTGCGTTATGCGTTAATTGTTGCTAGCTTTTATTTTAAAACGTCCACACCATGTGTTCCCCCCTGCAGTTTGCGGCGGAATAGATCAGTCCGGGAGTGACGTCACCATCGGGGCAGCCAGAGGAGCTCAGTTTGTTGTTTGTTGTTTTGCTCGGAAGTGTTGCGAGCTGAGCTCTGCCCGTCTCTACGTTGAATTCAAAACCTGCAATCCAGTCGACAGCTTTTAAGAAAGATATTTAGAAAGATATTGTATCGTGGTTATTATCATTTTCATCTGCATCGAGCGAAAAAGAGCCCGGAAACATGAAATGGATGTTCAAAGAGGATCACTCCTTGGGTAAGGGAGGAGGAGGCTGCTGTTTTTAAAGATAACAAATATCTGTTATATTTCAGTTACACTTTCTGAAGAGGAATCCTATATTTGGGTGGTAGAGGAAGTAATTAGGCTTTATTGATTAGTACATATTTTCAAATACTTCGGGCAGCACAGACTGGCCTGTCCTTTAGGCTTTTGTTTATACAGGAAGCTCTGGTTTGCAAGCTAGCTTTACCGACACATTACAGCAGCTAATATGATTGACAGCTGATGTAAACGGCATTTATCTCGTCTTTACTTTAAATACGATATGTTGGGTCCCTGTATATGAACAAATCATCCTGTCTTTGTTCTTATTTCAACTCTGACGACGACCTGGTTTCAGGCTGGCGATGAATGTTGACACGAAGGAGACTTGCTAAAGCCTCCGTTATGTATTGAGTTTCAGTAAGCAGCTGGATAATACAAACTGGGATGTGTGGTGTAATACAGCTCATCATTTTATTTCCTCTACTTTTCACTTGGTATTACCTTAGGCCCGCCCGGCGTCAGCAGGACAGAACAAAAGTTGTTTTGGTAGGCCTGAGGGCTGGTTTAGCCCATATTAAAAATAATGTCAACTAGCACGAATTATAACAACACGTATAAAACAGGGAGAGCAGCAACCCTTTGCATTTAGGAATATGACACCAAAACCTAACGGGCATTTGAAGCACTCTGCATTCACAGTCTTAATCGACTTCCTGTTGACAGACCAGCTGATTGTAACTACTAGTGTTTATCAGGCTTTACAAATAGTGTCCATGTTATTTAGAATGCGTTGTATGTGTGGTTATTAGAAGGCTGCTTCAAATGTTCAAAGTATAAAACTAATGAGAATACTGCAGTTGGCAACCACAGTGTTATTGTTGGTGTCAGTGACTTCATTACCCATAACCCCCTATGATTACTGGGGAAATTAGGTTGTTTGTATCCAGTTTCAAATACACTATTTGTATAAAGCATTAGTTTTCACTCTTGAATAATCAGTTGATCTTTTTCCTATTTATTGATTAGCAGTAAAGAAACAACAAAAAGTGAATTAAGCAAATCCTTTTTCACAAATGTGGCATTAGTCTGGCTATATATCTTTAAACGTAATACAAGAAAATAAATCATAAAAAGCAAGAACTACAAAAATTAAGACATGTAAATACAATAGTAAAATGTAGTTTTTGTTTATCTGTATTTTTCTTTTTTTTCTTTCTTTTTTCTTCCCTGTCAAAGCGTCTTTGTGTTTCTAGAAAAGCGCTATACAAGACTCATGTATTATTATTATTATTATTAATATATATTATAATAATGCATCAAAGTTTTTCTCAAAGAAGGCTTCTTTAAATGCCATTAAAGGAAATCATATTCGAGCAACAATCCAAAAATAAAACCATCCATTATATCTTCATTTACTTATTTAGTCAATGAAAAAAAGCTAAAAATGAGTTTTGTCCTTTTTTGTAGTATTTAATGATGCAAAGAGCTTAAGTGGTGATGTTTTATTGATGATGCACATTCACATTTTAAGTGACTGGATTTACGGATGTTGTCTCCTAATCCACAGCAGCTGCTTGTGAACCTTTCACATTAGCGGTTAAGTATTGATCTTTGTCCATCACTGTCTTGCCTCTTGTCTCTCTACAGGAGTTTGTTGTCATGTCAAACATTCCCATCATTAACTCAAATGTTCCTTTTTGTCCACCAGAACATCGATGCATAGAGTCAGCCAAAATCCGAAACAAGTACCCTGACCGGGTCCCGGTGAGTGAGACTTCAGAGATGTTGCAGCTGATTTAGCCTGCTTAGTGATCCATTAATGGTCTATAAAATCAATGCTTCTGTTTGCTGTGTCAGGTGATTGTGGAGAAAGTGTCTGGATCACAGATAGTGGACATCGACAAGAGGAAGTACCTGGTCCCCTCTGACATCACAGTGGCTCAGTTCATGTGGATCATCAGGAAACGCATCCAGCTGCCCTCAGAGAAGGCCATCTTCCTGTTTGTGGACAAGACAGTGCCGCAGTCCAGGTGAGGGCCAAGACACCGGGGAGGGGAGGGGGTTTAATCAATTTCAAAGATTCCCAGTGCCTAGGCCAAGTAGCCTGAAAATGCCGCAGAGTCTGATTCAGATTTAAAAAAACTATTGCAATTTTGCAGTTTTGACGGTCAGTTTGTGCCCTCTAATGTCCACAACAAGAATGAACAGACTTAAATTAGACTGTGTCACTCCATTAGTTCTAACCTGTTCATATGTTTGTATAGATAGATAGAGATCCTTCCTAAACACAAACTTGTGAACCTGCAAACAGACAGCGGGAGGTAGACATGAAATTAATTGAAATCCATTTTTGTTAATTGATAAATAATTGTATTCGCTTTATTTGGCAAAAATGTACTTCTCCCAAAGGAAGTTAAAACTGAATATGTATAGGTTTTTGACATGTAGTTTTGTGTGCTTGATTTGTCAAAAATATGTTATAGTTTGCTATAATTTCTGAGAAAAGGGTCAATCAGTTGTCAATGCATTTGAGATCTTTAACCAGAAAATATTCAGAATATTTGACTCAAAAAACACTGAAGTAAGTAATCGATTTGTCAAAGAAAGTTGCATTTGTTTTCTTTTAATATATGAATCGACTTATCTAAAGCTCTTTAAGGTGCCACTTTCAAAGCTGGGCTGAGGTCATTTGTTCTGTAATGTTCTGGCATCACACAAATGCCTTTTATCAAAAACGATTTGATATAAAACTAGAGTCAAATCACGTGTACAGTTTTTATTAAAAGGATCCCTGTCAGACTGGATAAATTGACTCTGTCCTTTTTTAATTTCCCCTGTGGCTTGGTATCTCAATCATTTCCTTCTCATGGTTGAGTGAAAATGTGTCAGGGCTTCTTTTTATATTCAAGAAAAGAACATTTGTTGAAAATAAATTAGTCGAGGCGCTGGAGTAAGAATATGAAGGGCAGGTTGAGGGATTTTTTGTTGTACCTTTTTATGAATACACACCTGTAAAATATTAACTGGAGAACAACTTGGGAAAAACTTAACTTTCTGCACAACACCACAAGTGAATGTTTGATTTGGACCGGACATTAAGGCTGATTTAACACCGAGACAATCCTAACAACATCCAGAATGAGCTTTAGTTACACCCATCAACCCATTTGTTTCTCGCTGTAGAGGTGCACATCTGGTGCCATCCTGAAGGTCCGGTAGAGTAATAACTGTGGGAATAATCCTGAATCAAGTTATAGTTTTACACTAAACTATCTAAATCTGTTATGCGTGTCAGTCTTTCCAGATAGATGCAAATAAGACCAAATATGTCAATATGAGGATTTTGTAAATATTATAAGGAGTCCTGGGTTTGAATATTTCATTGCTCACTTAAAATGTATGTATTCCAGTAGCTTCTAGGAAGAGCTGGAATGAGATGAGTCCAGTCCTTGAATGCACCTGAATTTCGTTGTATATTTGTACTATGACAGTAAAGTATCCCATCTTATCTTAGATGGTACGAAATATACAACCCACTCGCTGTTAGTTTGGAAAGAGGGTATCTATTAGTATTATTGAAAAATGTATGGTATGGGTTTCTTGGAACAAGATTTTATTTTCGTTGGTTGCAATGAGCGGTTCATTTGAGTAAGTTCTCGTTCAAGATAGACTTTGTTTGCCCTGAATAAAGCTTAATGGTAATTTAGCAAAAATAAACTGATTCAGTTACTGTTAATTTGGTTTGTAAGCTGTAAGACAATTGGTTCCTACTGAAGACATAATTTATAAACGGTCCTCTCCTTGGTTTAGCATCACGATGGGGCAGCTGTACGAGAAAGAGAAGGACGAGGACGGCTTTTTATACGTGGCTTACAGTGGGGAGAACACCTTTGGCTTTTAAAAAAGCAAGAAAACCACGATCTGGACCGGCCTCACCTGCTCGACACCCCCCACCCCCACATCTAATCACAGCCCTCTCGGCCCCTGGAGGAACGGCGGGGAAACCCCATTGAGATTGAGAGACATGAACGTATCAGAAAGACGGACGACTGCTTTACCTGACGGGATAAACATATATGAGCGCACTGGTGTGTTTGTTCTGGCCCATGTTGCACCAGTTCTTTAAAGAGTCATAGATTCAGTTGTGTATAGTGTGTTACATTTTAATTATTTGTGTTATCTTGTTGTGATTTGAGTGTTTGTAGGAGGAACTTTGATTTTTTTTTTCTCTCACATTTTAAATAATACGCGTGAATGAATTTTGCTTTAGTTATGCTTCCTCTTTAAAGGCAATATTTAAAAATATCTTTTAATTTAAATATTTGAAATTAAATTAGGATGACCTAAACAATAAAATATTCAAATGGAACCTGGTTGATGTTTTTATTGTTTTATTTGAGCACTTTAATAATGTACATGTATAAGTGCTGAGATTGAGTGTATAAGACAGCAGCTTATTTGTCTTGAAGCCTAATAATATATCATTATTATGTCTGTATACTTTTTGTCGGGGTCACCAGAAGAAATCTGAGGGGGCGTCACATGACTAATGGAAAAGCACGAAAGAAGCTATGGTGAAATCTGTTTTGGTGTTTTGGGACTTTTCTCTAACCTCTGATTTGTTGCTGGGATTGGAGTTTGTGTTCCTGTTGAAGTGCTATAATACTGCCAGGTGTTTCTATTATTTTGTCTACCACATTTCATTTTGTATACATAACAGGAATAGCTTCTACGACATTGAACACTTCCCTCCCAGGTACCAGATTGCCAAAATCAGATTAATTCCAGTGGTTTAATATTTACATGTTGAATATCACATAAACAGGGGTCCATGTACTTTTGGCCAAAAATCTCCACTAGGTGGTGCCAGAGCCCTATCTCTCTAGGGCTCTGGGTGGTGCTAATGAGTCGCAAGCATGTGTCTAATGACGAGAGATACATTTGGGTTCTTACTGAAATCACAAAAATCTGAAATACTAGTTATTAAATGTCATTCTTACATCCTTCCTGCTGTAACAATGCATCTGAATGATACAAAGCATGTTGCTGTGGAGACCTTATAAGGGGATACTACAAAATAAAGATCAGATGTATAAAACTACGCAAATATGTCAAGCTTCATGATGAAGCTTGACATATTTGCGTAGTTTTATACATCTGATCTTTATTTTTTAGTTATGAAGCCTTCATGACATATTTGAAGCTTGGCTCAAGCTGCTTTGAGCCATTTCATCTAACAGGTTTGAAAAATGAAAAAGTTTACAATATAGGCTACTCAACACACCATTATAGTTATATTGTCATCCAAGTTCCCTCCAATGCCAGAGCCTGGATGAAAAACTCACTGTGAGACACTTGGTGGTTGAAAGTACAATTACTTAAATATTGAATGTAAAATCAGGTATAGTTTCATTTTCTGCTATTTCATATTTTCTACTTCTACTTAGAGAAAGAATATTGTAGTGTACTTTACTACGTTTATCTGATAACTTCTGTTGCTTTTTCTAAGATATATTAATGATATGATCATCAAATTAAATTAAGATGTAATATTAAAGACACTTTATTCACCGTTCAAGAGGGAATTCATAAGATACCCAAAAGTACAGTTTGTTGTATCACTTTTATCAGCTGCAACATTACATTGATGGACCCATTAATGCATCAATGATTATAGTCAAATAATAAAATATGACATACATGTATATATATTATGTAATATTATTCTATAATTGACAATTCTGCATAATGAGTCCTTTTACATTTGTAACTACATGTTGTGATGGTAATACTTTTCTGAGAACTTGTTACACCCCTGGATACACACATTATATTCACTTTTACTCTGAGGCGGAAGATGTCTATACAGTATGCTGTTTTTTTTCTTTTATACAGTATTCGCTCATACTGTATTCAAGACTTCTTTTACCACTATTAAATCTTATCTAATTATTATGGCACATTTTATTATTGATATCTGTCGTCACCTTTATTACATCGCTCTATGAACAGTGTATACATCCTTGCAGTGGTGGAAAGCACTTAAGTATATTTACTCATTTATTGTACTTAGGCTACTTACATATTTGTACTTTACTTGAGTATTACCATTTATTGCAGCTCAATACTTCTAATCTGATACATTTAGGAGGCAAATAGTGTACTTTTTATTCTACTACATTTAAGAAATGCTCACAGTTATAGTTACTAGCATAAAAACACATATATGCTGATATGGTGTAATGCAGTAGGCTACTGTACTACTAATCCAAACAGTATTTCACGTATCTAAATTGCTCCACATTGACAAGCTACAATACTAAAATGCAGTGGCGAACCGTGTCTATCACAACTGGACCTTTTGTAGACACACACACATCTCCCCGTAAACAATTCACAAAGGGATTAAATTGTTTAAAACACATGCTCAAAGTAAACCGGATTATGTGGATTCAAAAATCGTAAATAATCTACAAAATGGAGGAGACCGATCTGGTCGGAGCAACTGTGACAAATAATCCAACTGAAACCGGCATGGACAATGACTATGTTTTAAAAATGCGTTTATCCAGAAAAGCCCGGTTTGGACACTTTACGGGCAGAAGAAGCATTATACATTTCTGTCTTTGTATGCCTTTAATAGCTACTAACTTGAATTGTTATTTAAATTAATAAATCAATTATTTTTTATATTTTATTGTCAATATATGATTGGTTGATCAAACTGTCAGTCCAAACGTACGCTCTCATTCAGTGCAACGGCCAGGGCATTCGATCAAGGATGTAGAATACCTTGGTTGAAGGATATTCTACCCAGAGACCCAGAACAAGATCTGATTGGTTGCTTTCTTTTCTAACACAAAACCACTGAAATGCGTAGTGCATGGTCCGAGAAGGACAAACAAATCAACGTAACACTGTAATATTACAGATCAACAACACAGATATACGATTCTCATTTATTCATTTTATATACATTTTATTTATATAATTAAATCGATTTGTTGTTTGTTTTATCTGAGTGTTCCAGGGTATTCTCTGAATACATTGAAGGCCCTGACGATTCGCCACTGCTAAAATGCTCTTACATGTATCAAAACAGAATAACCTAATAACCACAATAATATAATACTGTGAAAAGAAGTAATTTTACTTTTGATACTCTTACCTGATAAAACTGCTGCAGTTTATATTATTGTGAAATGGGACATTATGCCGATTGAGTACGTTAACGTGTTGTGTACAGTTAGTATGTTTTGATGTTAATACTTTTGTACTTTCACTTAAAGGGCCCATGTCATGCTTTCCCGGTTATTACCTGTCCCCTTGTGTGTTATGAAGGTTTTTATGCATGTAAACGGTCTGCAGAGTCAAAAACCCTCAAAGTACACCCTGTAGGGAGTAAAACTCTAACACAGAAAATACCTGTCTCTGCTGCCCCAGAACGCCTCGTTGGTGATTTCTCATTTCCCATTGTTTTGCTTCCTGGGTTCTGTGACGTGTGAACACTCAAATCAAAAATAAATGACCGGATTGGCCCAAATTGACCAATTCGCGGTGCACCACACACACCAGGATCCCTTGGCTAACTAACAGGGAGTCCCCATTGACTTGCATAGAGCTCCCTGAACGCTGGTAATAGACGAGTTGTATGGAATGCCATTTAAGCCAAAATTAAATAATTAAATAATTAAATAAATACATATATATATATATATATATATATATAAATATGCCTATGAAATAAATTCTGAAATAAATAAATGCGGCAATAAATATGTATACATGTACATTTAAATACACATTTATTTATTTCATGGGACTTTCATTTCATAATGACACATTTATTTATTTCAAGAGACTTTTATTTCATAATGACACATTTATTTATTTCAAGAGACTCGTATTTCATAATGACATATTTATTTATTTCAGATGGCTTGTATTTCATAATGACGCATTTATTTATTTCAGGTGACTTGTATTTCATGATGAGACATTTCGGGGCGTGGTTAGCTCACAGATCCAGAGACCCAGACCAAAGCAACAGCACCACACTGACTACTCGAGAAGAGGAAGAAAATGGAGGAGAAGGACTATAAGGCAAACTACTAAATTCTCAGAGTCAGACATCGCATGTAATCTGATACTCTAAATTTCACCCGCCAGAAATGTTCGCTTCTTCTTCTTCGGTGTAAATTGTCCGTTGGCAAACCAGTTGACTTCTTCTTCTCTCGGTTTTTTGGCGGATTGCAAACAACTTTAAGGTGCATACCGCCACCTACTGTACATGAGTGTGAATCATCATATCATTCCATCTCTGAACTCATGGACGTATCTATGATCTAATCCAAAAATAAATAAATAAAAAACATAATAAATAAAACAAAACAACAATCTATGATCTTTCCTGACCTAATGTTAGATAATTTTACCTACCCCAGTTTCACTAAAGGTAAACAGTGCCTTTCTGGTAGCTCTTTCTCCCTCTCCTTTTGTTCCCAAAATACCAACCACACTCCATTCCCTATCTGCCTCTAAAACGTTATCCTTTAGTTTTTCTCTTTCAGCTTTATAGATGTTCCACATTTTCTTTAACTCCACAGTTCCTACACTTGTCACTGTTACTTTTCCCCATGACATGCAGCGTACCATTCAATGCTGTGTGATTTATTCTGAGTCTAGCTATCATCATTTCCTCCCTTCTGTTTCTTTCTTTATAAATGCTGGTCTGCTGGCATACCAGCAGACCAGCATTTATCTATCACCAGCTTATGTCAGTATTAAATATACAATGTATTCTGGTAACTATCAAAATAAAGACATTGTATAGTGTTCATAACAGTATTTTTATTTAATAAATTATACTTAATACAATAATATTACAAAAAAAACCTACATCTAAATAAATATATCATCTAAAATAGATGCATTTGATTTAAAAATAACAAATATAATTCAAAATGTAAACAGCAACAAAGAAATTATAAACATTTTTTTTCTTTTTCTTGTTAATATCCATTATCTTCTCCGTTATGTATCTTCCGGTCTTTGCCAATCTGGCCAGCATTTCTTGGTCCTCCACGTCTTTCTCGTACAGCCACTGCTTGAAGCAAACTGAAAATAAGAAACAACAATGTTTTAACAAATCATATTCAATTATGTGCTGATAGAACTGTAAACAGAATAGCTGAAACTTTAACAAAATAAATAACTCAGTTATCTCTAATCATTAACCCATGTTTGTATCATTGAGTTAACTGTGTGTTGCTGCTAGCATACATAATAAGACCTGACGTGGAAACGTTACTCGTGGATGGGGCTACAGAGCTGCTAGAAAGACAGTCGAACCCGGTGCATTCCTCCGTC